TCAAACAAATCAGATTTTAAGAATGAATACGATAAAAACAGCAACACCAATACATTAGTAAAATCGGTGATCCCTCACAATCCTCAACAGATGCTGCGGTATAATAAAAATCGCAATGAGAAGTTACTAAATTTACATCTTCATCGTCACCTTGTAAATAAAATTTTTTAAAATTATCATGCCAATTATTATTTAATGTTTTACTTTCAGATTCTAATAGATCCAGTATATGAGTTACTAACTGTGTCGTTTCTAGATTATTTAAAATTGATTCTGAAAGTTTATTCTATATAAACAAAAAAAATTTTTTTATTAATTTAAATGTAGAGAATAGAATAGAATAAGAAAAATACTTGCAGGAAGTTAAGAATAAAGAATACCTTTAAATAATCTACAAAATTAAAACCTGTAACTTGTCTATTGTAAAAAATATAATCCTCAGCTGCACCAACTTGAGCAAATGGTTCATCATCATGTTCAGGTTCAGTAGCTGCACCACGCCAATTATATTCCCATTCATTTTGCCATTGTTTATAACAATACTGTTGAACGAATACTTCGCTTTGTTGAAGAGCTAAATAGACGTCCGGATCGGGTGTCACTTGTGAATCTACCAGGTCAGCCGCTGATTTCGTTAGATTATAGATAGTATGTGGAATTGCACGTTTAATTAGAAATGTGACATATTCGCTGGTTGTTTGAAATTTTGTCGACATTATATATATATGAGTGTGTGAAGTGAGGATTAGAAATGATCTAAGTAGAAATGATACAAGAAAAATAAATAAATAAAAGAGAAAATTTTCCTTCGTAGTTTATGAAAAAAACAAAGTAGCAAGAGATATTTATACTTTAATAGTTATATTAATTTTTTATAAGATAATTTTAGATTGGTTCACCATAAAGTTTTTCATTGGTTAACAGGTTAATATAACAAAGTAAATTAATCTATTGTTGCTTCAATATTTACATCAAAAGATTAAATTAAATAAAGAAAACCAATCAAGAAAGATTACCCAATTAAATAGTAAAAGTTTGTTTTAATTATATGTGCATGATTTAATGCGCCCAATTCGACTAGCATATACTTGTTCAAAGTTGTTTTCGAATTTATGCCAAGACAATCTGAGATAAATGAACATTCTAAAAGAATTTACAGCAACCAATTAAATTATTAAAAAATCATACATTTAGGTACGTGCATTACTTACTTTGCGTATAAAATATATACGCGCATTTATTAGTTTCAAAGTTTCAAGCGATAAATAAATAAAAAAAATAAATAACCGAAATAAATCTCCATTATGTTTGTTTGTGCATGTGAGATCCAAATCTTTTATTTAAAAAAAAAAAAGACAGTTTCTAATGATTGAGACAATGAATACAATACGCTTTGTGTAAAATGATAAACGAATGAATATGAATATCTGATATCAGTTAACATTCATATACGTAAATTCAAAATCTAATACATTGAATTTTTGTGTGTTTACCGTTTCG